ACATTAGGTTTCATCAATCACCATCCAATAGTGACCTAAACTGCTATCAGCTTTTTCAACATGGCACTGAACAATAGGCAATGATTATTCTTGCTCTGATCCAAAACCAGTTTGACTTAATTGTTTTTTTTTTGTATGTACTAAACTTTTCAGTTTAAAACTTCATTGTTTAAGATTGATTTTGATGTCAATCTAACTATGGAGCTGAAGTGCTAAGTTGAAATTTCACTTTCTATCAAATTTATGGGTGTGGATGTTTCTCTAAATCTTCTTTCAAAGGATGAAAGTAAAGATAAGTTGCTGAAGGGGTGCTATGTACATGGGAACTGCAGAAGCAAAATATGCACACACACCTTGTAAAATAGCCAAAGAAACAGTCCATCAAGCTGCTGAACAGGAAAACCAATATAAAACAGTTCTGTGGAAGCACCCTGCCTGGTGAAGAGTATTGAATCAGTGAAGAAAAAGTGGTGCTTTTGACAGCTACAGTAGCATTAACATCATCTATATTGACATCACAGCCTGCATTCTCCATTGTAGTGAGTAGACTAGGTACACAGTGTTTATGCAACTAATATCCCCACAGTGATTCCATGGCCTGGCCAGTGTAGAAAGAGGACCAATGCCAAGAACAGGAAAAGGAGGACTTCAGGGCTGCTGATGAACTTCAAAGACTGAAAATAGATCTTGCAGGGATCAAGCACAAGATGGCTAGATTAGTGGAGTTTACAAACTGTTATTAGAAGGATGATACTCCACCACAGCCCTAGATGTTGTCCTAATTAACATATTGAAGTGAACATGCCAGAGGCCTGGGATATATGTGTGTATAGTTTGTACATCTTAGTATATTACTTTTTTAAAGATTTGCATCCTTATGTTTGAAATGTTTTATTTAAAAATTATATGCATCCTTTTTCTTTTATGTTTTAACATTATGATACTTCCAAATTTGTGATGCTATTTTCTCTTCAGTCAGTAATTATATAAATTTCTACTAGAAGAGCTGCTAAAATTCTACAATAATAATGAAAATTAATATTAAGTAAGAGAGAAAATGAGTGCCAAACACAGTTGAGAATTCTACAGCAAACGTTGTCTCTTCCAAGTCAGAAATCGATTTGTTTGAAAACATCAGAACTGTGTTTTAGCCTTTTTTAACTGTAGCTTTTGCTGATTGTGTATTTATCTTCAGATATCCAATACCAGTGGCCTTAAATTTAGTTACAAGTATATATTTGTTCCTTTTCTTTTATTTAGATATAATTTATCTTACTCTAATTCAACATAGCCATCAATTCAATAGTCATTTCCACTTGATGATCAGCTTACCCTCAGCACAATTGTCTAATTCCTTTTAATAAATAAAATATTTGTTCGTTTGACTTTACATCATGTTTTGTCTCTTTAATTGCACATGAAACAAGTCTTTACACCTATCCATCCACATACTAGGTGCTCAAATCTCCAGTTTTGCCAAAATAACTAGTTTCAATAATTTACAGTTAGTGCATAACATTGGGAAAAAAAAATTTGCTAGTGGAGAAAACTCAAGTGATTCTGGGTAATTTGATGGTGCTGGTTTCAAAAATGTAGTTAGAATTTGTATGCTCCGCCAAGGAATCACGAAACCCTCACGTGCTCAGTTTACTATAACATTCGAGAAGTCCCTCAACTGAGCATGAAAGGGGCAGAGTCAGGCACCTCTGTCTCAGTTGCCTCTCATTCATTAAGTTGGTCAGTTTGCCTCACTCCATGCACAGTCAAAACAAAATCTGATCTTCCTTGCATCATACCTGCAATATGATAAAATTCTGCAAAACTTCTAGTTCTGTAAACATAAATTCTTTTATGTTTTTTAGAAAATCATTTAAAATACTGGCTGCCTCCGAAAGTACAAAAATCTCCCAAACAGTTTCTGCTACATTTGTGGAAAATGTAGTACAGTTTCACAAAGGAAAAACATCGTATACAATTTTGGGTGTAAAATTGGCGAACAAGAAAAACATTAGGCTCCATATGTGTGTTGTACTGTTTGCACATCTGGCTTAACACAGTGGCTGAATAAGAAGAAAGCAAGTATGCCATTTGCAGTTCCCATGATAACTGACTGTTATTTTTGCATGACTAATGTTTCTGGATATTCAGGCAAAATTAAACAGTACATTAAATATCCAGATATTGCATCTACAATGAAACCAGTACTTCATGAAGATGGTCTTCCAGTGCCACATCCACATGTTATATGGTACATGTAGTGGAGAACACAAGGGAGTATTTAACACTACAGCAGAAAGTAAACAGAAGAGTTATATTGAGAAGAAGACAATGAATCCTCTTCATCTTGTAATTCTGTTCCTGTGGCACCTCAACATAAACTGCCTCATCTGGTCATATAAGAAGAGCTAAATGATCTGTTTGTGACTTGTTTCTATCAAAGCAGCATGGAGAACTTCTTGGCTCTTATTTACAGCAATGGAATTTATTAGCACCAGGAACAAGAGTTTAAATTTAGTGAAGTCGCCATCCAAGTCTTGCTTCTCACTGCAGCTTACAAGACACATTGTGTTTCTGTACAAATGTTGAAGCAAGTTAGTCTGAAAGTTGTACTTTTGCATAATGAGTACATTAAGCTATTGATTCCTGTTGCTCATGCTGTGAACATGAAAGAAACTTAACAAAGCATACAGATTATACATTCTTAAATGCAATTTTCAATGAATAAATAAAGTTAGCAAAAAAAGTTATTTTCATGGCATATAAGAATAGTTTGAATAAATTTATCATAACTCAAAAACTAGAGTTGATCAGTAATTTTCAACATGATTTTTAGAATTAGCACCATCAAATTACTCAGAAACAGTTGCAATTTTTCAAGTAGCAAAGAAAAAGTTTTGTTGTTGTTGCCCAGTGTTATAAAAGGTGTATGTGTGATATAATACTTTAAATCAATTGAAACAAATGGCAGATATATTTTGTTATTTTGTGTAACACTCCTAATGTGTCAAAGTAGAGATTAACATGTTCAGGACATTGTGTGCTACCAGTGGTACATCTGCATGTTTTCTTCTGGACGTTGTGAACCACCTGTGGTACACAGCACCCATTCTGCACCTCATATCTCCAAAGATCTGTATGAAAGTATTTATTTTGTAAGGATGGGTACAGTAAAGCCACACCTTCCCTCATCTCCCACTGGTGGAACACGGATGATACGATGAAAGGACAACTGAAATATAACCAATTTACATGATCACATGACTTTTTATTTTAAAATTACATCTAGAGACTGGCATTAAATTTTTCATTTTGAGTAATTGAAGCAAAAAAACAACTGAGATTTCTTCCATAAATAAAAAACTGATATGAAAAGTGTAATATAATAAGGATAGAAATAAAATGGAAATAACATTTTTATAGTGAGTAAGTGGAGCAAAAAAACTAATTAGACATTATTTTTTTGGAAAGCCTTTTATGAAATTTAAAAAAAAGACAGTGAATATTTTAATTCATTCTAGTGTTCATTTATCAAAATGGTGTATTTAAGTGTTTTACACTCACAAACAAGAAACCTATCATTCTATAGGTATTTGAAGAACTTGTAGCATTCCGCCACAATTTAATTCTTCATATTGTTAGCCAACACTAGGCAGCTGGTACATAATTGAATAGAGTTGTTTAAACATTTGTTTAACAACAAGTAAGCAATACGAAGAATTAAATTGTGGTGGAATGCTACAAGTTCTTCAAATACCTATAGAATGATAGGTTTCTTTTTTGTGAGTGTAAAACACTTAAATACTCCAATTTGATTTTCGATACCTCACTACTATAAAGGCTTGGTTTGGTCTGAACTTTCATTGGTGGTAATGTCCAGGGTCACTGATGAGGGGTGGAATTCTCTGAAACTAGTCTGCCTATCAGACATGCCCCCAATGAAGGAATAGACCATTCCAAGCTTTTACTTGTTGTTAAACAAATGTTTAAACAACTCTATTCAATTGTGTACCAACTGCCTAGTGTCGGCTAACAATATGAAGAACTAAATTGTGGCGGAATGCTACAAGTTCTTCAAATACCTATAGAATGATAGGTTTCTTTTTTGTGAGTGTAAAACACTTAAATACACCAATTTGATTTTCAATACCTCACTACTATAAAGGCTTGGTTTGGTCTG